AACCAATGGAAAGGAGCCTGAGCTACTGGAACCTATTCCCTATGAATTCATGGCATGATGGGTGTTAAAATAAACTAATGTGGTCTATAAAAAAAAAAAAAAAAAAAAGATTCAGGCAAGAAAAGATAAAGAAGAAAGATAAAGAAAAAAACGCTGAGGGAACCAGCAGTTAGCGTAATGGCTATGTCGCTGGACTCCCACGTAGTTGACCGTGGTTCGTGTCCCGGACCCGGTGGCTTAAAACTCACACCGGGTGCGTGTGCGTGCGAGCCCAAGATCCCAAGAGGAGAATGGAGGAGAAGGGATTGCGGCGAGACCATCCCCCCTGGGGGGTGATTTCTCGCTTTCTGTCTCTATGTCTCTCTCTGTCTGTCTGGCGAGCGCACGCGCCCTACAGTGAAAATCTCTCCAAAAAAAAAAAAAAAAGAAAAAAACGCTGATACATTATCTATGATAAAATGTACTGGAAAGTGAGAGATCTGATATGTATAACTGCAGTTTTCCCAGAAGGAAAGCAGAGAGAGAATATCTGAAGGGAAAAAAAGTTGCTGAGAGGTTCCTTGAATTGACAAAAGATATCAATATTTTAGAAATACAGGGTAAATTTAGAGAAAATCAAACCAAGTTGTATTAAATAACTGCTGAAAACAAACAAACAAACAAAACAAAAAAGCAAAAAAAAAAAAAAAAAAACAGAAAATGTCATAAATAGCCATCATAGACGGATTACCTTCGAGGCAGGGAGAAGATTTAAAACTGACTTCTCAAGATAAAAAACAATAAAGACCCTGAAGACAATGAAATGGTATCTTTAAAGTACACTAAAAATAAAAACTCAAAACTTTAAACACAGAATTCTATATTTACTAAATATCTTTCAAAACTAAAGAAGAGATCTGTACATCTTCAGGGAAAAAATGTTGAGAGAATTTATTACCAAAAGACCTACACAACAAGAAGTAATAAAAGAAGTTCTTTGAGCTGAAGGCAAGGGATTGTAGATGAAGCACAACACTGCTAGAAGGGAGAGCAGAAGAAAGTGCAAATATTTAAGTAAATATAAATGGGCCAACAGGTGGTGTGGTGGTGGGAGCACTGGACTCCCACATGGCCAACAGCGGTTAGAGTCCTAGACATGGTGGCTTGAAACTCACACTAGTGTGCATGCCCAGAATCACAGGAAGAAAATGGAGATGCGAAGGCAGTCTGCCCATCACTCCTGGGGGTTAATTTCTGACTTCCCCTCTCACTGTCTCTGTCTCTCTCTGGCAACCTCACGTGCCTGATGGCAAAAACTTAAAAAAAAAAAAAAGTTTACTGACTAAAGCCATAATATTAATGTCTTCTGGGATTTATAACACAGGAAGAAGAAACTATTATTAATTAGTTAACAGCAGCACAATAGAAAGTGGTGAATATATTGTGTTCTTTTTTTTTTTTTTTGGAGAGGTTTTCGCTATAGGGTGTGCTCTCCAGAAAGACAGAGAGAGCCAGAGGGACAGAATGCAAGAAATCACCCCCTGGGGGGTTGGCCACGCCGTAATCCTTTCTACTCCATTCTCCTTTCAGGATCTTGGGCACTCATGCACACACGCCCGGCATGAGTTTTAGCTGCCGGGTCCGGGACTTGAACCGTGGTCAACTACATGGGAGTCCAGCGACATAGCCATTACGCTAACTGCTGGTCCCAGTGGTGAATATATTGTTACAACTTAATTGTTAAGTTCTTGCACACCAAGATAAATTCCAAATGGGCTAAAGGTTTAAACATAAAATGCATAAAAATGCTAGAATAGGTGAGTAGATTGTTTATAATCATGTAGTAAAAAGGACTTTCTAAACATGCCTCCAAATGTTATAAAGCCCAAACCTATGCAAGAAAAGACTGGCAAACTAGACAACACAAATAGTCAAATATTTCTGCATGACGGAAAAACACCAATACTAATTAACAAAACAGAAATTATATACCAGGAAATAATGGTTTACAACTCATATAATTAGAAACTATTATTATCCCTAACACATAAAGAGCTAACTAGACAAGAGTAAAAAAAGCCAGAAACCTAAAAGAAAATGAACAAAAGATATCAACAGATAGTTTACAGAAAAATAAATATGAGAAACCCTTACACACATGAAAAGATCCAACTTCAGCTGGGAGTTTAGCTTTAGCTGGGAACTTATTTGAAATTCAGAATCAAGGGCACTACTTATATCAACTACATCAGAAACTGCCTATTCACAAGATGCCAGGAATGACGCACACATGCATCTAAACTTGAGAAATCCTAAGGGTAATAGATTCCCTTTTGAATGAAGGGAGAAAGCATTTAAGAACATACACAGATATTTTCTTTTAATTGGATAAACAAACACCAGGAGGATAAATGAGAACCAGCTGGGTATCTGCAGTAGGGTGACCACGTGCTCCAGCTTGCCTAAAACTGTCTCCATATATGTCAGTTGTCCCAGCAAATTATTTAGAGAAGCTCCTTTACTCTCAGTGAAAATGTCTGTTTGGATAATAAATAAATGTCACCCTACATAGAAAGTGCAGCA